GCGCCGTTGCTGGTCGTGGAGGGGGGTGCGTACTAATGTCGTGTCCTCATCTCTAGCAGGTTCGGCAGTGGTCAGCTCCTCCGGAAACGGTGATGTGTCCAGTTTGAATGATTTAACCAAAGAACAGGTTCAAGCTCTTTTGAATTTAATTCACATTGAGCCTAGCTCATGTGATCGCATGTCAGGTACGTGTACTTCTTTACCATGGATTATTGACACTGGGGCGTCTCACCACGTCAAGGGTGATTTATCCTGACTTACTCGGCGTACTCGGATTAATGCATGTCCGGTTGGGCTACCGGACGGGCGGACTGTTGCAGCCATTTTAGAAGGACGGGGTTTCCTCTCTAAAATGCTCACTTTGGACCATGTTCTTTTTGTTCCTGGACTAAATTGTCATTTGATATCCGTATCTCAATTAATTGATCAGTCTAAATGTATTGTCACTTTCACTGATTCCTTTTGTGCTATACAGGACCTACACTCGAGGAGCCTGATTGGAGCAGGTGAAAGACGAGATGGGTTCTTTTATTTCCAAGGAATTCCGGCTCTTCATGTTGTTCGGCAGTCCGATATATCTGATTTTGCGTTGTGGCATCGTCGGCTTGGTCATCCGTCTGAACGTGTTCTTAAATTATTGCCATTTACTAGTTTTTCTAAGAAACATTTGAATAAAGCCTGCGAGGTATGTCCGCAGGCCAAGCATGCTCGTGATTCTTTTCCTGTTAGTCATAATAAAGCTACTCGCATTTTGGAATTAATTCATTGTGATCTGTGGGGGCCATATAAGACTCCTTCCACGTGTGATGCTATTTATTTCTTAACCTTGGTTGATGATCATTCTCGTGCTGTGTGTGTATTTGTTGCGGGATAAGAAAGAAGTATATCATTTTTTTCTGGCATTTATCAGTATGGTTGAAAAATAGTTTGATGTGCCTGTCAAAATTATTCGTAGTGATAATGGCACAGAGTTTCGGTGTATGCTATCTTATTTTGAGGAACGTGGCATTTTATTTCAAACCTCTTGTGTTCATACACCTCAGCAAAATGGGCGCGTTGTGACACTCCAAAAATTAAAATAAAAATAAAAATAATTTTTATTAGTCAGATAAAATATTACGAAAATAACATTTTTATAATTAATTGAGTCAGACAAAAATTCAGCAGTGGTAACATTCTAATCAGATAAAATTTCAAATTTATGACGTTTTAGTCAGATAAAAATATTTCGGTAATAAGAACAACATTTTATTAAACAAGTGAACCAGACAGAAAATTTACATTTTACGACATTTCCAGTCAGATAAAAAAATAGTTCGATAATAAATGTAACGTATAAAAATACTTTATGTATAACTTTTTAAGTTGTATTTTTTTAAAATTAAAATAATACGGAGGGACTGTACAATAATACGTAGTATAATTTATTAAACCTAAACTAAACTATCTACGTACGTATAAATTTTTATACGTATAAATTATTTAACAAACTAACTACTATAACATACTAATAATACTCCTAACTAACTACTATAACATACTAATAATACTCCTAAATAACTACATACGTATACTCCTAATATATATATAATTACGTACGTAATACTAATTATATAACAATTATACTCCTAATACTCATAAAGGTGCAAAAGAATCAAAATTTAACTCTAACTCTAACACAGCCTAAACCCTCATCTTTCCCTATAAATAGCAAGCCAAATCTACGATTTTATTCATTCACCTGCGAAAAATACATACATATATACATATATATATATATGTATTTTTTTCGACAATTGGTTTTAGCTAGAACCAAGCCCTGAAAACACTCTAGAAACCCTCCCCTTCGTGAGACGAATCCAACGGTGAAAGAATCGTAGAAAACGGTCGTGAAACGAGAGAGATATCGTTCGCTGGAGTTGCAAGTTGTGGAAGCGGGTCTTTATAAAAAGCAGATATTTTGCCGAAGATAGGGGTGGAGGAGCTTCGTCTCGCCGCAAGGATCATTTTGCAACTTGAATCGTCGAAATCCGTTATCTGTAAGTCAAGTTATAGCTCGCCGGAGTTTTCTAGTTTCCGGCGATGTCGCCGGAATCGACCTGGAGAAGATGACCCAGTTGTCTGGGTCAGAACTCTTGGGCCGGGTCGGTTTAATGGGTCAGTTCGGCCCAGTTTTAATAAAAATTAAAAATAAAATACTAAATCAAATAAATAAAATCTGGAAAAAATATAAATTAAATACCTAATATAAATATACATATTCGGACCAACCAGAATTGAAAAATAATATTTTTAGCTATTTTTAATTGATTTAATTGTAATTGGGCCAATTTATACACATTTAGTAAATAATTAACTAAATGACGAAAATAATTATGAAATAAATATTGGAGTAAACTAGGATAAATATATGACTAACTAGGATCTTATGGACCATTTATAATTAATAAATATTAAGATTTAGTATATTTAATTGTAATTGAACCGGTTAATAGATATATGAAATTAAATGAATAATTATGGAAATAATTATAAAATAGATATCTGGACAACCTAGGTCAAATATAGACCCAAAATATAGTTATAGACGGTTTTTTTTATAAAGTCGATTCTTAGTCTATTTAATTTAATTGGGCCATATAAGACTAGTTAAGTAATTAAATAAGGAAATATTAATATTAATGATGAAATAAATAAATCACTGAGGTTGAAAAATAATAGTCTGGACTAAAAATGATGTTAGAATAAAATAAGGAAAATAAAATAAGGATGGGTTAGCTAGCATAAATAATTGACTATATGTAGACTTAATAAATAACTTAGTTATGTAATTAGTGGACTAATTCAATTAATAATTTTTATGATTAATTATTAGATATTCGGACTTCATATAAATATTTAAAATATTTGAATTCATAAATTAATGTGTTAATATAAATAAAGTAATTAAATAATAATTTATGAATAGAGTATATTAATGGTGATTATTGAAGAAAAATTGGATGTTGTAGTTAATTATGTTCGGATATTTTATTTAATATTAGAATTCAAATATTGTAATTAATGGCTGAATTAATAAGGTAATTTGATTAAAAAAAGTGATTAATCATATAAATTCAAATAAACTAAGTTAATGCGAATAATAAAATAAAAGGAGAAAATCGGGTAAAGTAAATACAAATAGAATAAGTGACTAATTTATCATATTTAATTAAAAAGGTGATTATCTAGAGACCGGATTAGAGGAGGATAACTAGGAGCATCAGGACTTAAGGTAAGTTTCTCTGCCAATCCAAAATTGTTTCCTCGTACTATATGCTTATTATACATTATGTGATTAAGTGTGAATTGTAAATTTTGCGTATGTGATTTTGAGGAGATATTATATATATGGTAGTTAAGAAATATAAATCAAGTACTTTTGGGGTATTATATATTTTTAAATACCTTCGAGACTTTTTAGAGAAATTAAGAAGTATTTTTTGACGTATTATTTAATTGAAGATAAAATTTACATTTTCATAAGAAGTGAGCATCTCGGGAGTAATCCGAGGTGTCGGTTTTTCCACATCCGGATAAATGTGGAGGGTGATTAGAGCTACTACTACTGAGAAGTACAGTTTAAATTTCAAGTGAGATTTGGATCTATGATCCCTTTTAAGTAAGATTTGGATCTATGATCCCTTTTAAGTAAGATTTGGATCTATGATCCCTTTTAAGAAGAAGTTATAGTAGTAGTCCCTAATCATTCAAGAATTTTAGAATTGGGGTGGTTGGGTTCCGACCACTCGGGGTGACTTACTACTCGGAGGGCTTGGAATCCCTTTCAGGGGGGTGTGCACACTTAAGGTAGTCGTTTCGTTTCCGCAAGAGCAGTTGTGGTACCGGCACTTGTTCGGGGTGGCCGTCCGTAACCACGGTCCACCGGGCTCAGTCGAAAGGTTGAGCACCGCCCTTCTAAATTACTAGGAAGTTAGAGAAGAAGTGATTTTCTTAAGAAGTTTAAAGAGAAGAGATACTAAGAGATTTTCCAAGAGAAGTTTAAGATTTTAGCAAAGAAGTGATTTTAAGAAAAATCAAGGAGAAAAGTATTTTGGTGGAGTGCGTCATTTTTATATGATATTATATAAAAATCTATTTTCGTCAAACCTGATTATTTTACGGGGTTGGGTAGTACTTACTTAGCTCTAAAGCTAATTTTTGTTATTTCTCTTGTCTCTCTCTTCTCCCTTAAATTTTATCAGGTGATGAGTTGGATGCCTATGTGGATTGATGGATTGCTCGAGCTTGAGTGCGAATTAGAAGATGCCTTAGTTAAATCTAGTTTGAAATAAACATTTACTTATTATTAGTTTTTATTGTTTTACTTTGAGTTGCATGTGCATTCGGTTAAGAGATGACCGAATGTGGCGGTAACACCCATTTCCCTTTTAGACTTCCGCTGTATTTCTTCAACTCTTTTATGAATTAATAGAGTATTCCTTTTAAATATATCATTGTTTTGGGCGGGAAATTTGGGGGTGTTACACGCGTGGAGCGTAAGCATCGTCATATTTTAAATGTGGCTCGGGCTCTTATGTTTCAAGCTAATGTTCCGTTGTTTTTGTGGGGTGAATGTGTTCTGACCGCGGCTTACATTATAAATCTCACTCCGTCGTGTATTTTGGGGGAAAAACTCCCTATGAAATTCTTTTTGGGCGTGCTCCTGATTTTGGTCATTTGCGAGTCTTTGGATGTTTGAGCTTTGCTCATAACTTGCAGGCCCGAGGGGATAAATTTGCTCCTCGGAGTCGGAAGTGCGTGTTTGTTGGATATCCGTCCCAGAAAAAGGGGTGGAAATTATATGACTTTGATACTGGTGATATTTTTGTTTCTCGGGACGTTCAATTTCATGAACAGGAATTTCCTTTTGCTCAGCCGCCCCCCTCGGCACCATGTGAACCCACGGATACGACCATTGTTCTTCACGATGAGCCCATGGATACTCCAGCTTCGGTGGATAATACCGTGGAATTTTCTGAGTCGTCATCTTCTACTACTGCCGAATCCTCACTTGCAGAACACACTCTTGGCCGAGGTATGCGTTTCAAACGCACTTCGGTTTTATTGCGGGACTTTGTCACACATCATGTACGGAAATTGAGCCCATCTCCGTCGACATCTTCTTCTCTCGGTTCCTCAGGTACGCCCTACTCTATAGCTCATTATGTGAATTATGACAAATTTTCTGCCTGTCATCGTATGTTTCTCGGAGCAATTCTTGCAGGCAATGAACCTCGTTCTTTCCGCGAGCCTATGACTGATCCCGGTTGGAAGGCAGCCATGGAGAGCGAAATTCGTGCTCTTGAGAGTAACCACACTTGGGATATGACCCAGCTCCCGTCCGGTAAAACGGCTCTTGGTTGCAAATGGGTTTACAAAGTCAAATATCATTCAAATGGCACGGTGGAATGACTTAAGGCGAGACTCGTAGTTCTTGGCAACCACCAGAGAGAGGGCATTGATTACACAGACACTTTTGCACCGGTAGCAAAGATGGTTACGGTTCGGATTTTACTTGCACTCGTTGCCGCTAAAAATTGGGAATTACATCAGATGGACGTCCACAACGCCTTTCTCCATGGTGATTTGGCTGAAGAGGTCTACATGAAACCTCCGCTAGGATTTTACCTGTCTCGGCCTGACCTAGTGTGCCGCCTCCGCAAATCTCTTTATGGTTTACGTCAAGCACCCCGATGTTGGTTCGCAAAACTGACTAGTTCTTTGCGGACCTATGATTTCAGGCAGTCGTACTCTGATTACTCTCTGTTCACATATCATAAGGGTGATATCTCCTTACACGTACTCATTTATGTAGATGACTTAATTATTGTCGGCAATGATTCTGCGGCATTAACACGCTTTAAGCGCTATCTTCATACCTTCCATATGAAAGATTTGGGACCTCTCAAATATTTTCTTGGCATTGAGGTGACCCGCAGTCCGGAGGGGTTATTTCTATGTCAACGCAAATACACTCTGGACATTATCTCTCAAGCCGGTCTCTTGGGTGCCAAACCAGTGGCTTTTCCTATAGAACAGAACCATTCGCTAGCCTTGGCTACGGGGGACCTACTTCCTAACCCCGAGTCATACCGACGGCTAGTTGGCCGCCTCATTTATCTCTCTTTCACCCGGCCGGATCTGGCTTATGCTGTTCACATTCTCTCTCAGTTTATGCAGGCACCCCGACAGGAACATTGGCAAGCTGCCCTTCGTGTAATTCGCTACCTGAAGGGTTCCCCAGGCCAGGGTATTATACTATCTGCTTCTTCCGATTTGCAGCTCACTGGCTGGTGCGACTCCGACTGGGCAAGTTGTCCTCTCACTCGACGCTCTCTCACAGGGTGGATCATATTTTTTGGGAACTCTCCAGTGTCCTGGAAAACTAAGAAACAACATACCGTATCTCGTTCTTCTACAGAAGCTGAGTATCGTTCTATGGCGGCAATCACTTCGGAATTAAAATGGCTCAAAAGTCTTTTAATGTCTCTCGGGGTGACACACTCACGACCTATATCTCTACGTTGTGATAGTCGTTCTGCACTCCACATCACACATAATCCCGTGTTTCACGAACGCACCAAACATATTGAAGTTGACTGTCACTATGTTCGTGACGCCATTCAGGATGGCACTCTTACTGCTCATCACGTTTCTACCAATGATCAACTAGCTGACATTTTCACCAAGGCTCTCGGTCAGAGACAATTTCATTTTCTTCTCGGCAAGTTGGGCATTTTTAATCCCCATGCTCCAACATGAGGGGGTATTAGTTTACATTATATGGGCTTGTAATTTAAATCTTTAGATTGGTTAGATTAGTACGTACATAGTTGGGCCAAGGGCTCTTATTTAGACTTAACCTCATGTATATAAATATATAGGAGCTCTCTTGTACATGGAAGGCAATATAATACAATTAATAATATTCCCTAAATATTGATAGTCTCCCACTAGACTTAGGCTACGTTTAATTAATTAATTAGATTCCTACAGAGACATCTCCTTTCCCACTAGGAACTAGGTTATGAACAATTAATTTAGTTTCCTAGTGGAACATTGATGTACCAATTATTATTTAAACCCTACCCACGGCTATTCAATGGTTCATCAGTAAAATCCAGATTTATTAAGCTAAATTAGCTTGGGCAACATATTCTTCCCTTGATTATTTGGGTAACGTTTTATCGCGTTGATTTATATTTTTCCGATATACTTAGTATAACATAAACACAAAAGACGGCACTTTGGAATAGGAATACTACGTAGTATTACAAAACATGCTCAATGAAGATAATGGTAAGCAGTTATATATATATAGTAGCTCTTGATTGAGACACAGATGCATGCATGATCGATCATGCTAATTGAAAACAGATAGACGTAACGATAAGGCCGAAGATAGTAATTTAACCCCGCGATAATTATAAGCAAGAAAAAGTGGAAAACCTATGAAATTAAACACATAAATATCACCATCCTAAGTTAAGCTTGACGATCAGCTCTAACATGGCCTTCCTTTTTCGTCTGACAAGCCATCATTCCCACATGTAATGACTGTGACGGTAGAAGGAAAATCCGGAACATGACCAGTAAACTGATTATTAGAAAGATCCAGTACCTCAAGTTGGGTCAAACTTGTTGCAAGGGTTTGAAGGATATCCCCAGTAAGCTGATTATTAGAAAGCCGGAGGTGCGTAAGGTTGGTCAAACTTGCAATGCTTGGAGGGATAGAACCAGTGAGCTGATTATTAGAAAGATCAAGTCGCCAAAGTTGTTCCAAAGTTGAAAGTGGTTCAGGGATAGGGCCAGTAAGCTGATTATTAGAAAGGTCGAGTTGCTCAAGTTTGTCCAAACATGCAATGCTTTGAGGGATAGAACCGATGAATTGATTATTAGAAAAGTCGATTAGCTGAAGTTTGTCCAAACTTGCAAGGGCTGAAGGGATGGGGCCACTAAGCTGATTTGTTAGAAAATAGAAGAGGTTGTTGGTTGTATGAGTAGAATAAGTGATTTTAGTGAGGTGTAATGTAGATGATGTGTTTTAGAGGAGAGCTCTTGTCTCTAGAAAAGTAGTATTGTATTGATGTTTCTTGGTTTTGCTTGGTTTGCAAATGAGTACAATGAGTCCTATTTATAGGAGCTAGAGGATCATTCTAGATCCTTATTAAATGCTATGATTCTAGAGTATTCTACATCTATGTCTAATTACTCTAGATTTTACATAAGAATTCTCTAGTAGAGAATTTTCTAGAATACTTTCTAGCTTTAACTCTCTAGATCATCTCTAGCCTTTTCTACATAGAATATTCTAGATAAATGCATCACTATTTAATACTCCTCCTTGATGCATTTATCGGTGACTCCAAGCATTCTTCGCAGAAACTGGAATCTGTCTCTTGGCAGGGCCTTCGTGAAAATATCTGCCAATTGTTCTTCTGTTGGGCAGTACTTCATCTCAATATGCCCCTTTGCTTGGACATCTCTCAAGAAGTGATACTTGATATCGATGTGCTTAGTACGATTGTGCTGAATTGGATTTTTAGCCATCGCAATAGCTGACTTGTTGTCGCAAAATATTTGAGTCGCAGAACTTTGCAATTCACCCATGTCTTCTAATATTCTTTTTAGCCATATAGCTTGGCACGCTGCTCCGGCTGCTGCAACATACTCGGCTTCGGCTGAAGATAGTGCAACAGAATCTTGCTTCTTTGATCCCCATGAGAAAATTCCCGAACCCAGCTTAAATGCGTAACCGGAGGTGCTTTTCATGTCATCTTGAGATCCAGCCCAATCACTGTCGCTATATCCAGTTAGTCGTGAGTCAGGAGTTGTTTTGTACCAAATACCATAATTGATGGTTCCTTGTAGATACCTAAGGAGTCTCTTTGCCGCTCCATAATGAGTCTCAGTTGGACTTTCCATGAACCTCGAGAGCAAACTTGTAGCATACATGATGTCCGGCCTCGTAGCCGTTAAGTAGAGTAGACTCCCAATCAAACTTCGGTAATTGGTTGCATCCGTCTGCTTTGACCCATCTTCTTTCTTCAATTTTTCATTAGGAACCAGTGGAGTAACGACGGCTTTGCAGTCTTGCATTTTAAACTTCTTTAGCATGTCCTTAATATATTTTTCTTGAAATAAGAATATGCCTTCTTCTTCTTGACTTATCTCCATGCCAAGAAAGTAGTGCATTAATCCCAAGTCACTCATCTCAAAAGTGTTCATCATGTCTCTCTTAAATTCTTCAATTAATTTGGAATTATTTCCCGTGACAATTAAGTCATCAACATATAGAGAGACGATGAGAATGTCAGATTTACCTTGGGATTTGATGTATAGTGTAGCCTCGTTCTTACTCCTCCTGAACCCTTGACGGGTGAAGTATCCATCAATCTTGCTATACCACGCTCGTGGAGCTTGTTTGAGCCCGTAAAGCGCTTTCTTTAGACGAAGAACTTTTCCTTCTTCTTTGATGAATCCTTCTGGTTGCTCCACATACACTTCTTCTCGTAGCTCTCCATTTAGAAAGGCTGACTTGACATCTAGCTGATAAATTTTCCATTTCTTCTGAGCAGCAAGAGCTATGAGTGTTCTTATTGTGTCCATCCGGGCAACTGGTGCAAACGTCTCTGTGTAGTCAACTCCCGGTATTTGAGCATACCCCTTTGCAACCAGCCTTGCCTTATGCTTCTGAATTGAGCCATCGGGGTTCAATTTTGTTTTATACACCCATTTGACTCCAATAACCTCCTTGTTATGTGGAAGATCTACCATTTCCCAAGTATCATTCTTTTCTATCATTTTGATCTCCTCCTCCATTGCTTTAATCCAAACTTTTTCTTTGGAGGCTTCGGTGTAGCTATATGGCTCCAAGGAGCAAAAGTTGCATGTTTCATAGATGTCAGTAGACTCATATAGGTCTGCTAGAGTTCTTACCCGAAGAGGTGGGGACTCTGGTGAGGAGACGTGATTTCTTGATGTATTAGCTTCAAAAGAGGATCTTGGAGTAGACGTGGGGCTTTGTTGATCGTGATTTTCCTCTTCTGGTATTTCCTCTAGTTGGACAGTAGTTGTCTTTCTTTCAACTTTTTCTGTCTCCCAATTCCAAGAGGCTTGCTCGTCAAACTCCACATCTCGACTTGTCACCAACTTCTTTGTCTCGAGATTGTAGATTCGATATCCCTTGGATTTGGAGCTATAGCCAAGGAAGATGCCCTTCTCTGTCTTGTCTTCTAATTTGTGCCTTTTAACAGAGGGAACATGAATGTAGCATATGCTTCCGAAGACCTTCAAATGTTTGGCTGAAGGCTTTTGTCCAGACCATGCCTCAATAGGTGTTTTGTTTAAAACCGCCTTAGTTGGACACCGGTTTAGAAGATAGACTGAAGTATATACTGCCTCTGCCCAGAACGTTTTAGGCATTCCTTTTTCAGCTAACATAGACCTTGCCATCTCCATGACTGTGCGGTTCTTCCTTTCGGATACCCCATTTTGTTGTGGAGTGTATGCTACTGTTAGTTGATGCTCTACACCTTCATCTTCACAGAACTTGTCAAATTCTTTTGAGTTGTATTCGGTACCTCGATCGCTTCTCAACTTCTTGATTTGATGACCACTCTGTTTCTCCACGAAGTTCTTGAATCTCTTGAATATTCTAAAGACTTCGGATTTTTCTTGGAAAAAATACACCCATGTCATCCTAGAGTAATCATCGATGAAGAGTATGAAGTACCTGTTCTTCGAAACTGAAGGCGTGCGCATTGGACCGCAAACATCGGTGTGGACAAGCTCTAGTATCTGTTTGGCTCTCCATGTCTTTTCTGTTGGAAATGGTTGCCTGTGCTGCTTCCCAACCATACATCCTTCACATACTCCTTCTTTTTCATCCAGTAGAGGCATGTCTCTCATCATCTTCTTTAGGTGTAGTAATCTCAAGGCATTGAGATTGAAGTGCCCAAATCTTCGATGCCATAGACTCGTATCACTCAGTTGAGCCACCATCGCCTTTTGTGGATATTGCCATTGAATAGGAAAATTTCTATTATTTCCCATTTTTACTTCAACAATTTCTTGATTATTGTTCTTGTCATAAATTCGGCAAGAATTTTTCTCAAAGTGCAAGGCATATCCACTTTCCATCATTTGGCCAACACTTAGTAGATTTTGTGCAAGGCGTGGCACTAGGAGAACGTTTCTAATAAAGCGCGTACCTTTCTTTGTATCTATGACAATGGTACCTTTCCCCTTTGCCTCCACCAAATCGCCATTGCCCATCTTGACTTTTGTCTTGATAGAGGTATCTAAGTCATGGAAGATGGTCTCGTTGGATGTCATGTGATTGCTGCACCCACTATCGATGTACCACTCTTCTTCTTTTGCTTCTATGGCTGAGTGACATGCGTAGAACATGTACTCCTTCTCCTTAAAATCTTCAGAATAGTTGGCCTGATAGTTTCTTCTATCTCTGCAATCTTTTTCTTCATGCCCGAACCTCTTGCAATTTCTGCATTGTGGCTTTCCTCGATGGTAGCAATCTTTCTCTAAGTGATTAGTCTTCTTGCATATTTTGCATGGTGGAAAGTTCGTCTTCCTCTCCTTGTTGTTAGAATTTCCATCTTTATGTGGTTTAAAGTTTTCACCATTTCTCGAGTGATTCCTTTTAATGTTGAGCTTAGACTGGAAGGCACTTTCTAATGAACTTTCGTGTCGTCTGTTTAGCCTTTGCTCACGTGCTTCTAGCGACCCCATTAATTCAGTGATGGACATTTTTGATAGATCTTTTGACTCCTCAATAGCCGAAACTACTGGATCATATTTTTCAGGGAGACTGATTAGGACCTTCTGGATTATTCTCTCGTCGGTTATGTTTTCTCCAAGAGTTCTCATTTCGTTGACTATATGTATAACCCGAGAGAAATAATCTTTTGCCATTTCAGAATCTCTCATCTTTAAATTTTCGAGCTCTCTTCTTAAACTTTGTAATTTAATAGTTCTAACTTTCTCATTTCCTTGAAATTCCTCCTTAAGAATATCCCAAACTTCTTTTGCCGTAGTAGCACGAATTATTCTCGGGAAAATAGTATCACAAACGGATTGTTGAAGAAGATAGAGAGCTCTAGCATTTTGGTGTTTTTGTTTCTTACGTACCTCGGAAGTTGATGCGTCGTCGCTTCCTTTTTCCGGCATGATGATTCCTTCTTCAACAATATCCCAGAGATCATGTGATTCTAGGCAAGTCTTCATACGGACACTCCAATAGTCATAGCTTTCTCCATTGAACATCGGAGTTGATACCGAGAAGCTTGATGTCGTCATAATGCCCGCTTATGATCGAACCTGGCTCTGATACCACTTGTTAGAAAATAGAAGAGGTTGTTGGTTGTATGAGTAGAATAAGTGATTTTAGTGAGGTGTAATGTAGATGATGTGTTTTAGAGGAGAGCTCTTGTCTCTAGAAAAGTAGTATTGTATTGATGTTTCTTGGTTTTGCTTGGTTTGCAAATGAGTACAATGAGTCCTATTTATAGGAGCTAGAGGATCATTCTAGATCCTTATTAAATGCTATGATTCTAGAGTATTCTACATCTATGTCTAATTACTCTAGATTTTACATAAGAATTCTCTAGTAGAGAATTTTCTAGAATACTTTCTAGCTTTAACTCTCTAGATCATCTCTAGCCTTTTCTACATAGAATATTCTAGATAAATGCATCACTATTTAATATGATTATTCGAAACGTCCAAGTGCCGGAGACTGGGTAAATTTGCAACGCTTTCAGGGATAGAACCGGTGAGCTGATTATTAGAAACATCCAGCCATTCCAGCGACTCAAATTCGGTCAACCCCATGAGTTCTTGAGGAATAGGACCGGTGAGACTATTGCCGGACAAGGTAAGGACTCTTAAGACGGGGAAATCCTTGGGGTTGAAGATGCCCGGGAAGGGCCCCTCCATGTTGCAACCGCCGGCGGAGAAAGATCTGAGCTTGGAAGAGCTCTTGAGGGCGTCAGCCGGGATGGTCCATGGTTGAAGCATCTTGTTGTTGGATACATCAAATAATGTGAGGCTAGGCTTGGATTGGAACAGGATTTGCGGGATTATTTTAGTGAACTGGTTATCGTGGATGGAGATTTCCCAGATGGCCCCGCCAAAGTTGGGAATGGTCCCGTTGAGGTTGCTGGAACCCGCTTCGAATATGCTTAACTCGGTGAGGTTTTCGAGACTGGCTGGCAGACTCCCGCCGGAGGCCGCTTGGAAAGTGATATAGGTAACCCGCCCATCACCCTTTCCGCAACGCACATCCATCTGCTTCGACCCATCCGCCCCGCAGTCGCACGGAAGTTTCGTAGAACTACAATCCGCGTCACTCTTCAACCCTGTGCTATTTCTCAGCTCCATTATTACTTTGTAATCGGGGGAACTGCTATCCGCCTCCGCCATAACAGCAAAGGCGGCGACCCACACAAACAAAAGAAGCAAGCTGCTGCTGGACGCCGCCGCCACTCCTCTGCCAGACGAGAAACGCCGGCATTTCTTTATTCCTGTCATATCTTAGCTACCTTACCTTCTTCCCCACTGCTATATACGGAGTATATGAGATTTAGATGAATCGGCAGATATTTTATTATTAGGCCGCTATCCTTAGGGTCTTATATACACACACCCACAAAATAAACTTACCTAGTATCATCTCTTTTGGTATATACTCCCTCTGTTCCTAAAAATTCTTCCCGGTATGGCACACTTATTAAGAAAGTGGAATAAAGTGGAAATGTATGGTTGTGGTTGTGTAAGAAAAAAGTAAAATGAATGTAAGCCACATAAATTGTCCAAAATGGGAAAGTGAGAAGTATTTTTGGGAACAGCCCAAAAAGGAAAGTGGGAAGTATTTTTGGGAACGGAGGGAGTATTCCGTTAATCGGAGTGGACATGTTTAATCATTGGGAAAATTATTAGTCCTTTCCAATTTGGAGATATATTTTATATTCACTTCGTTAACACAAATCACTCGTAATCTCTTATTTTATAAATCAAATTTTTACCAACTTTGATTTTGGTTTTTGTGACTTTGTAAAGTTTTTAATGTAGTTTTTGAGTATGTACTGTAATTTTTTTTTCTAAAAATATTTTGAGTGCGAACAAAGATCTGTTTGCTTTATCATTCACCAAACAACGTAAACAGTAAAATATCTTGCAAAATGAGACGAATGAAGTATTACCCCTTGTCATAATTATTGACAAAATTTTGTACTCCGTTTTAAAAATCTATGAGGTACCCTGAGTTTTGATCATCCTTAGTATTTCTCCCATCACATTAATACTCCGTAGTATAACTTGATACTCCAATGTAACTCTTAAGTTCAATGAAAATTGTCTATAAAATTTACACTTAAAGTAAAACACAATTTATTTTCATAATTATATATAGATGATTGTTGTTGATCATTGTTTTTCTACTTAGCTGCTCCTGGAATAAATATTAATGAGGGCAATTAAGGAAGAGCACTTATGGATACATCAAAGAAATTAATGTTTTCTTAAAGTACTCCATATGTGTTATAGAAATTTTAGATAATTCTTTCCATGAACATAAAAGTCATGTTTGTAATTCATTCATTCTAAGTGATATTTCTTTCGTGTGTATCAAAGATAAGTCACTATCAATAAGAAACCTAAAAGATAGGATGTGTCTATAATATAGGACTTAAATGATTGAAAAATCTCAATCTAAGATCCAAAAATGATAGATATAGAGGGAGGACCAAGTAAATATTTATTTACGTAACGTGAGAAGCTGACTCGTTATTCATTTTCCTTCACTCACGCAGTGAGAACACTCCCCTATCCCTCAATTACGGAGCAAAATTATAGGGAAGCCTGTTTCAATCCCCTTAACTTTTATAAACTAATTACGGAACTTTGAATTTCCATATTAATTTTTCACACTATTTTATTGTTTTGCATTGCTTTCACGACTTAAAATCTAAGTTGTCTATTGCATGCGTAGTAAATTAGGGGAAATTACCAAAATACGGGCTTTTCCGTCTGACAATCCAAAAAACGGGAGAGGGGAGTCGGATTCGCCTCTCCCGTAATCCGACAAGGAGATTTCAAAAAAATAAATAAACACCCATGTTGGAATTGGGTCATCCGACAGGAGGGATTAATTTTTATAATGTGTCGTCCAATGAAATTGTAATTTTTTAAAATTACAATCAAAAAATTTATATTTTTGGGGAGTAACTAACTAGAATGGAAAGCATCTATCTGAATTCATCCACTTATAAAACAATTTTTTTAAAATTTTAAAGCTGTCGGATCTTCCAAATCCTACTGGAGGAAATGCATTATCCCATTGCGATCAAGGCCCATCCTCTTTTGTTTACAGCCGTGTGATAGGGATCCAAGCCCTTACTGTGTTTCTTTGGTGGTTAGAGTTTAATTTTGTACAGATATGGAATGCCTGTATATCATTTTTTTGGTATCATTTTTTTGGTATCCCATTGTATCTTTTGTTTACTCCGCCATGATATCATTTTTTGGTATCATGCATGTCCCAAGCCAGGATAAAGGAGGAGAATGCTGTAGTAGGCGTGTAACGGCCAACAGTATCACCTAGTCACATCACATGACATGAATCGAAATATGAATATCGCTAATGCTAGGTCGTCACCCCTAAGTGACGCGTCATCCCTCCGCCTGGGGTGGTGTCAAACATGCAAGGGTGCGCTACACTTCATAGACGTGGGTGTGGTGATAAGAATGCTAGGGTTGCTAGGTCGCCGCCCGGAAGCGGCGCGTCATCCCATTGCCCGGGGATGATGTTAAATATGCAAGGGCATGGTGGGGTCCGAGATGGGGCTAAGAACATAAGGTGGAGTGCTATATTGCGTTTTGGGACATGGAATGTTGGGTCTCCTGCAGGCAAATCTTCCGAGGTAGTCGAGGTTATGAGGAGAAGGAATATCACCATTATGTGTGTGCAAGAAATTAAATGGGTTGGAGAGAAAGCACACGAGATTAATCTCGGAGGTTTTAAGTTGTGGTATTCGGGGAAAGATAAGGCTAGAAATGGGGTAGGCATTATTGTGGTGCGTGACTATGTTGAGGATGTGGTAGAAGTCTTCAGGAAGAATGACCGCATCATGAGCATTAAATTGGTGATAAGGGGTGAGATTGTGTCTGTGGTAAGTGCCTATGCACCACAAGTGGGATTGGATGCATCTACAACTCAACAGTTCTAGGAAGATCTTGAAGACGTGGTCCGAAGAGTGCCAATGGGAGAGAAGTTGATCATAGGAGGTGACCTCAACGGGCATGTGGGCTCGAGTCGTGATGGCTTTGAGAGTATTCATGCCGAACATGGTTTTGGCACTAGGAATGAGGCGGGAAAGAACATTTTGGATTTGCCTTGACGTATGAGTTGGCTATAATGAACTAAGAAAAGAGACTCTCACCTTGTAACCTATAAAAGTGGAGCTAATAGTACCCAAATTAACTACTTCTTAGTACGGACCACTTGGAGAACTAGCTACACTGATTGTAAGGTTATTCCAGGTGAGAGTGTTGTCACTCAGCATAGGATGCTTGTGCTTGACTTTCGTGGTAAGAACCATAGAAGACAAGTTAAACAACCAGTGGAGCCAAAGATGAAGTGGTGGAGGCTTGATGGAGATCTTCAACAAAGCTTTTCACACAAAATGGTCGGTGAAGATGTATGGCATATTGATAATGAAACACATGTGGATGATGTGTGATTATCAATGGAGTTGACCATTAACAAAGTGGCAAAGGAGGTACTTGGAGAATCTAAAGGATGTCTGCCACCTAAAAAGGACACATCTTGGTGGAATGATGAGGTGAACCAAGCCATACGGAACAAAAGAGATTGCTACAAAAAGTGGGGGACAAGTTGGAGTGATGAGAATATAGAAGCATACAAGGAGGCTAAAAGACAAGCAAAGAAAGCCGTAAGGGAAGCACGAGGGAAAGTGAACAAGGAGTTGTATGAAAAGTAGGAGTCTAAGGAAGGTGAACTAGATATTTATAGACTTGCTCGTCTTCGTGATCGCAGGACTCAAGATATTCCAAAAGTTACGTGTGGGAAGGATGTCGATCAGAGGATATTAATGGACGAAGGAGAATAAAAGAGAGGTGGTGGTCATACTTTGATACACTATTCAACGGGAACAAAACGCAAGATATTGGCGATTTGTCCATACCAGATTATATGGTAAATCGTGATTTTGTGAGAAGGATCCAAACAACGGAAGTTAAAGAAGCTCTGAGGAAGATGGGACGGAAGGAAGCAATGGATCCAGATGGCATACCGATCGAGGTTTGGAGAAGTCTGGGAGAGAGGCATCGAGTGGTTAACAAGTTTCTTCAACATGATTTGGAGAAACAATAGGATGCCAACGAGTTGGAGGAAGAGTACTCTTATCCTCTTATTTAAAAATAAAGGTGATGTACAAGAATGTGCCAACTATCGAGGGATTAAGCTTATGAGTCACACCATGAAACTTTGGGAGCGAGTGATTGAGCAAAGACTTCGAAGAATTGTGAAGATTTCAGAGAATCAATTCGGTTATATGCGTGGTCGCTCAATAACTGAGGCCATTCACCTTCTTCGGCAACTTATGGAGAAGTATAGAGATGCTCATAAGGATCTGCATTTGGTGTTCATTGACTTAGAAAAGGCATATGATAGGGTACCTCGAGAAGTTCTTTGGTGGGCCTTGATAATCATGTAAATTCCATGTGTATGTTTGTATTTTTAATTATTTTTGAGTGATTTTTACATTGGAAATTACACACTTTTGGTGTAATAGTTTAGTTTGTTAAATTCTTGTAAATTGTTTAGATTAGGTTTATTCTGAGCTCAAACAGGTCTTGATCACTCAAAGGACAGTTGGTGAACCCCAAAAAGTGGAAGGAAGGTGCATAACTTGAAGACAAAAGAAGGATCCTGAAATTTTGGTCTATACCCGGTCGAGTATCACCTATACTCGATCGGGTATCTTGTTGAAACTTCAAATCGGATCGGATCCGAAGACAAAGGATCATGCAGAGAAGATTCGGACCACGATCTAGTGTCCATACCCGATCAGGTACACCGACACACCCGATCGGGTATCTCTTCAAATACAAACCTGAATTCGGTCGAGTATGCCACGGATCTGAAGTTATAAGCATACTCGACTGGGTACAAAGGTATACTCGATCGGGTATGCTTATGACATTTTCCCTTTGATCAATCAAGTATACCTCGAATTTGAGGTATTACACATACCCGATCGGGTACCTTGTATATACCCGGTCGGGTACCCGAGCTGCATCCCAAGAGTCTATAAATACACCCCCTTTCCTTCACAATTAGATAACCAATTCACATATACTTCTTAGCTCAGTCTAGAATAATTCTTTCTTTATATTTTTCATCATGTTTAGTCTCCAAATGAGGAGCTAAACTCTTCCACCTTGGTTTTGCTACTTTGAAGCTTAATGAATATGTAAGTTGTGAGTTATTTTCTTTAATCTTCTTCCTTGAATATTAATTCTTCCTTTAAAATACTCTTTCTATATCAAAGTTGGGGAGTGTTACTAAGATGACAAT